GGAAATTGCGCATCCCAAGAAAAACTTGATGGAAAAACGTTCTTTGGGAAATGATAGCGAACTTTATTTCGTAAATTTTCGATGCCGGTTCCTCGGGTCGTTGTCAGACATGTCGGGAGTGTACAGAACAGTTAGAATTCTAAACCTGCCTAAAAGAGTCAATGATACCTAGTCAGTCTTTCTAATAGCTGTATATGTTGTTTGGCATCTCTATCGGCTTGGCTGCCGTCTTTTCCATGCATCTTTGAGATTGCTGTATACAGCACCCAATTCATTGTGTCGATTAATGCACGATTAATCAGAATTAATAGCCTCTAAAAATTTAGGATATTTCTTGGATAGACAGAAGCCGACAATGTAAGTTTGGTCCCACGAAAATCTGTGTGCAACTTCTACTGTGTGTATGGCAACTCGGGACAAGTGGTTTCGCCTCTGTATCGCCAGTTAGTGCTCAGGTAAACGTGCATAGGCCGAATTCGCCTGTCAGCCCATAATAAACTGCATTACAACTGCCTCAGGGAATCACGTAAACAAAATTTTTTGTCCAAATAGCCAACCCTATCCTTAGGGTGCACAAGCTGATTTCGCAGTATACTCGTTGGTTTGTGCGTCACGTGGATTTGGTGTTTCCTTAGATGTTTTTCAACGAGTTCAGACACATTCTTAATGGGAGTGTTCACCAGCTTTTTCGTTTGGGCGCCTGATCGGAACAATTGAGTTCCTTTTTTGTTTAAACTCTTATCGTCTCATACATTGACGCACAAACTCCCTAGGGCAGGGGTCGGCAACCTTTTTAACTCAGAGAGCCAAGAAAGCAAATATTTGGAAATGTATTTGAGTGAGAGCCATATAGTCTATCTTATGATAAAATTCAATTAAATGCGAGTATAATAAGCCTCTGTACTTATTCTTTTAATAATGTTTTTATAATACTCATTGTTAATGCGACTTCTGCGACCCCGCGCGGCTTTCGAATTTGAGCCACGCATTTTTTTGCCCTCCATTCACGTGGGAATTTATTATCCTATACCATCCTCT